AACACCAATGGAATATTGGCTGTTGAGCTGTGTGTCAAAATATAGTATTTTTTTAAAATTGAAACTATATTTAACTGCATTAATTTTCAAGCCACATTTGTGGAGTGCACATTACTGCCGCAAAACCACAGCAGCTTATTTCCTGGCATTAACTTTAACTTAACAACCTCTCTCTCTCGGCATTTGCACCAGTCTAGCCAGCACTTACCCCTTCCCTTTCTTTCCAGTAAAAGGAGAGAAGGGCAAAAAGTGTCCAAGGATACTCAAAACTGCCTGATTGTGCCCACGTAGGGTGTTGCCTATGGCCAATGCAGAAGCTGTGTGCTCCTTACTCTGGGCCTTTTCCCCCTTTAGGAAAATCCTCACCTCAAACTCACTTCAGTTTTCTTGGATGCCCACCCTCTTTTTAGGACAATGGTGCGGTTACATTTGTATGTTTTCGGAGTGCTTCAAGGTTAGGGTTCGTGTCCAGCTTGATACATTCTATCCCAAAACCGCATTGCTTTTTACCAAGTGACTTCTGAGTGCCAGAGCACTGTAGAGGAAATACCCTCCAAAGGACTTAGAGAATTGCTGGCAGTTGTTTTGCAGACAATTACCAGATCAACTCAACTTGAGCAAAAGGATGTTGCAAAAATAGGCTTGAGGATATAATGGATGCAGCCCCATGTTGCATTTCAAGCCAGTAATAAGCCCTAAATGGGGGGGGAGGTGATTTTGTGTTCACAACAAACTTCTTATGACGTAATTCATTGTTAGTCGTGTTGGACTCTTTCGTTGACCCCCTGGATAAGAGCACGCCAGGCACTCCTGTTCTCCACTGGCTCCCGCAGTTTGGTAGACCATCTTGGTAAGCTTCGAGAACACTGTCCAACCATTTGTCCTCTTTGTCCCCCTTCTCCTTGCCCGCCCTCGAATCTTTCCAACACTCAGGGTCTTTTTCCTGGATCGGAGTCTTCTCTTAGTTGACAGACGAATGAATAATAATAATAACAATTTACTAATGAGATCCTTATATGGCAACTCTAATTGCAATATTGCAATTAGTAAGAACACAACGACTCATGAAGTATCCACCTTGCAGCCCGTGAAGGGAGGGGCCTTATTCTATGCTACAAACTCCTGGTTTGTTGGGTAAACAATGATAAGGAGTAAGGCCTTTCCGCTAATAAGCGTACCCTGAAGTACAGAAGTTTTCCCTGACTTACAATGGCGTCATGGCAACTCATTTTATTCAAAAGGAGAAGATACGTCGCTTTAGAGGTCTTTGCTTCAACTTGTAACTTTTTATTTTTGAGTCTCTTTCTGGGCTCATAATTAGTCCTATAAAAATTAGCTATGGCTAGTCCTTCCTCTCTTTTATTAGTCGATTGAATTTTTTTAACACGCTGGTTGTCTATTCAATAAAGCAAGTACATAATTGTAAATTTCCATTAAGTTTGACGTCTTCAAAACAGTCAAAAAATTCTGGAAACTCTTTCACAGCAGTGAGATTTAAGTTTCCACTGCAGTAGTCAGTCCAGTCTTTTTTTCCCCAGAAGTGGGAAATTTCATAAAGAGTACTCTCGCCCAATGTAGCAAGGATTTTTAAATACCTGTGACCACTCAAATTGTGTCCAATAATTGACAAGCGCAGCAGTGGAGAAAAAAGAAAGTGTATTTTATTGCTGAGCAATAATGACCCAGTGGAATGGTTTCCAACAGGCGTCAGTGAGCTCTTAGTGCCCTTGAGCTGTATACCCTGAATAACATTGTGCACTAAAAACATGACATTTACATATAATCACATCAGCAGATGGCAGCAAAAATAAAACCAATGAGCGGATGCATAAACCTTGCCCTTGACCATGTAAAGAATTCTTCTCCAACTTTCACTGCTTCCCCAGACCGGATAATTCTGACTCTTTCTCCCTGATTTATAGTAAACAAGGAGGAAAAGAAACTTATTCGCCCCTTACTGCCTGTTTGATAACCTTAATTGTTCCTTACACAACGCTCTGTTTATAAAAGCGAGCGAGACATACCAGCACCTGTGTGTTAGCGTTTTTCCTGTTTAGCTTCTGAGGAGCTTGCACTGGCACGGAGGAGATGGCCAGATCCCATCAGAATTTATTGCTTCCTACTATCGTTTGGGGTCCTCTAGGAAGACACAAGAGGGAGCGTATTGGGGGTCAGCAAGATCATTTTGGCTCTCCTAAATTTCTTAGAGCATTTCGCTCTTAGCTCCTGGCAGAAGCCTTAATTGAGTTAAACACCTTCGCTTTTTATACGATGAACGTGAGATCTACTATATTCACATCGGAGGGCCGCTTAGGGGCGGCATTGAAAAGGGCATGGCCGACCATACATCGTCTCCGCCTCACACACTGGTAATTAAGCGGTCTTGATATGGGAGGTATTGCAGCCTCCCTGTCTATTACCCCAAGGGCACTTTATGGGAACACATATACCTTTCGACCTGCCTGCATAAAATCACCCCTTACCAAGTCCGACACAGAAGGGGGTGAAGCAGCGCAACAAGGCGCGAGCCAGCACCCCGTGATCGTGTCGGCTCTCCCGGACGCTGTCTCTTGATTGCCGTGGCACCTGGTTTGCCAGCAGCTTCAAAATAAAGACAATAGAGAGAAGCCAAATGCACATATTTCGATTGAAGAACGGGAGTTTAAGGGATTTGCTAATTAAAGTGACTCTGTTTGAAGTGGAGCGACGGGGTTGGATTCAACAGGAAAAATCCAAGTAAGAAGACACATCAAGGTCGCTATGTCGGAACGGGACGGAATGGGGGGACTTTCTTTTTTTACCTTAT